GCAAATAAAAGCCTTCAAAAGTATACTAAATGGGGCTGGGCTTATGGCTCAGTGGTACAGAGATTGCCTAGCACGTGCATGGTGCTGGGTTCGATCCTCAGCACCACATAAAAATAAATAAAGGGGGGCTGGGGATGTGGCTCAAGCGGTAGCGCGCTCGCCTGGCATGCGTGCGGCCCGGGTTCGATCCTCAGCACCACATACAGACAAAGATGTTGTGTCCACCAAATACTAAAAAATAAATATTAAAAAATTCTCCCTCTCTCTCAAAAWAAAATTTAAAAAATAAATAAATAAATAAATAAAGGTATTGTGTCCAACTACAACTAAAAAAAAAAAAAGTATACTAAATGCCTACAAGAACCTTAAACGATCCATAAGGTATTAATCTCTTTTCACAGAAAGTATGATAGCAAAAATAATTATATTTTAAAAATTGTGCCTCTACCATGAAAATGGCTTTTTTGATATCTGGGACTCTGAAGCTAGTCCACAGACCACAATTTAAGAACTCCAACCTTGTTCTGGGGATGTAGCTCAGTGATAAAGTGCTTGCCTAGCATGCATGAGGCCCTGAATTCAATCCCCACTACTATCAAAACAAAACAAAACAAAACAAAACAAACAAATAATCTATTAACTTTATTTACTAAGCAGTCAGTTCCTAAAATAGGATTTAGAGATCCATACAGGGAAGGTTTCAAAGGAAAAATAAAATATATGTCAATTTGTTAAGGGTGATTGATTTTGTTACGAAGACCTTAGAAGATAGAAAGATTTTCCATGTTTTTGGAAAGGCAGAATTAATATTGCCCAAACGGCCATACTACCAAAAGCGCTATACAGATTTAATGCAATTCCTATTAAAATTCCAATGATGTTCTTCATAGACATAGAAAAAGCAGTCATAAAACTCATTTGGAAAAACCAGAGGTCCAGAATAGCCAAAGCAATCCTTCCTTAGCAAGAAAAGTGAAGCAGGAGGCATCACAATATCAGACCTTCAATTATACTATAGCACTGTAGTAACAAAAACAGCATGGCATTTGCACCAAAACAGATATGAAGACCAATGGTACAGAACATAAAACATAGAGATAAACCCACATAAATACAGTTATCCCATAGTAGACAAAGGTGCAATAAACATATACTGGAGAAAAGATGGCCTCTTCAACAAATGGTGCTGGGAAAACTAGAAATCCATATGTAGCAAAATGAAATTAAACCCCTCTTACCTTACACAAATCTCAAAGTAAAATATCAAGGACCTAGGCATTAGACCAGAGACCCTGAGCCTACTAGAAAAAAAAGTAGGCCCAATGCTCCATCACATCTTCTTTGGAACCAAATTCCTCAACAAGACTCGTAAAGTGCAAGAAGTAAAATCAAGAATCAAAGCTGGGAGCAGAGGCTCATGCCTCTAATCCCAGCAGCTCAGAAGTCTGAGGCAGGAGAATCACAAGTTCAAAGCCAGTCTCAGCAATTTAGCAAGGCCCTAAGCAACTCAGTGAGACCCTGTCTCTATATAAAATACAAAAAAGGGCTGGGTATATAGTTCAGTGGTTGAGTGCCCCTGAGTTCAATCCCTAGTACCAAAAAAAAAAAAAAAAATTAACAAATGGGATGATACTAAAAAGCTAAAAAGCTTTTTCACAGCAAAAGAAATAATAAAGAACATGAAAAGAGGGGCTGGGGTTGTGGCTCAGTGGTAGAGCACTTGCCTGGCATGTGTGAGRCACTAGGTTCAATCCCCAGCACTATATAAAAAAACAAATAAATATAGGATATAGGTATTGTGTCCATCTACAACATATGTATATCTGTGTGTGTGTGTGTGTGTGTGTGTGTGTGTGTGTGTGTGWGAGAGAGAGGGAGAAAAAGAGAGAGAACATGAAGAGAGAGCATACAGAATGGAAGAAAATCTTTGCCAACTGCACCTCAGATACAGCATTAATCTCCAGATATATAAGGAACTAAAAAAACTTAACACCAGAAAAAACAACCCAACCAATAAATGGGCAAAGGAACTTCACAGAAGAAATATGAATGGTCAGCAAATAAATATATAAAAAAGTGTTCAACATCTCTAGCAATTAGAGAAATTCAAATTAAAAACTACACTGAAATTTCATCTCATTCCAGTCAGAATGGCAATTATCAAGAATACAAGTAATGGGGCTGGGGAGATAGCTCAGTTGGTGGAGTGCTTCCTTGCCTCACATGCACAGGCCCTGGGTTCAATCCTCAGCACCACTGGAAAAAAAAAAAAAAAAGAATACAAGTAACAATAAATGTTGGTGAGGATATGGGGACAAGAGTACACTCTCATACATTGCTGGTGGGACTGCAAATTGGTGCAACCCCTAGGGAAAGCTGTGTGAAGATTCCTCAGAAAACTTGAAATAGAACCACCCAGCTGACCTATTTATATTTGGGTTCATAACAAGACACATACATAACAGTTATATTTGATATACACACACACGCACACAAAGGAGTGTCTTGGTATGTACCTAAAAGTCTTAAAATCAGCATACTACAGTGACATCAATGTTTATAGCAGTTCAAGTCACAATAGCTAAGCTACAGAATCAACGTAGGTGGCCTTCAACAGATGAATGAATAAAGAAAATATGGTACATATACACAATGGAATATTATTCAGCCATAAAGAAAAATGAAATTATGGCATTCGCTGGTAAATGGATGAAACTGGAGACTATCATGTTAAGTGAAATATGCCAATCCCGTAAAACCAAAGGCTGAATGTTCCCTCTTATATGTGGATGCTCACACACAATAAGGAGGTGTGAGGGAAGAATAGATGTTCTTTGGATTAGACAAAGAGGAATAAAAGGGGGACATAGAAATAGGAAAGACAGTAGAATAAATCGGACATAATTTTCCTATGTTCATATATGAACACATGACCAATGTAGCTCCACATCACGTACAACTACAAGAATGGGAAGTTATACTCCATGAATGTATGTCAAAATACACTCTACTGCCATGTATATCTAAAAAAAAAAAGGACTGATTGATTTTGGAAAACTTAGTTGAAAGCACTTTTACTTTCTAAATTAACTATTGCTACAAAGTTTTAATATTTAAAAAGTAATACTTCAATTACTTTCTAATTAGACAAACAAATCCTTCTAAATGAAAGAAGCCACTGGATCAACCTGTAAAAAAAATGTTCATTAAAATGCTAGATATGGGGCCGGGGTTGTGACTCAGAGGTAGAGCGGAGGCCTGGGTTCCATCCTCAGCATCACATAAAAATAAACAAAAGTTTTGTGTCCATCTACAACTAAAAAAAAAAAATTAATTAATTAAAAATAAATACAATAAAGTCATTCTGTTCATCCACAACTAGAAAGAAAGAAAGAAAGAAAGAAAGAAAGAAAGAAAGAAAGAAAGAAAGAAAGAAAGAAAGAAAGAAAAGTTAGGTGTGGCACTCACTCCTGTAATCCCAGTAGCTTAGGAGGCTTAGCAAGGCCATAAGCAACTCAGTGAGACTCTGACTCTAAAATACAAAAAAGGGCTAGGGATGTGGTTCAGTGTTTAAGCACCCATGGGTTCAATCCTAGCTAGGTGTGGCAGGCATGGTGGCATGCACCTATACTCAGGAGGATCACAAGTTGGGGGCAAGCCTCTGCAATTTAGCAAAGCCCTGAACAACTGAATAAGACCCTGTCTTAAAGTGAAAAATTAAAGGGCTTGGGGATACAGCTCAGTGGTAAAGAGCCCCTGGCTTTGATTCCGAGTACAAAAAAAAGGAGAAAAAATGCTAGCTCAGTGCTGGGGATGTAGCTTAGTGGTCGAATTCTTGCCTAGTATGCAAGAGATGCAAGAGACCTTGGGTTCCCTTCCCAGCACCAGACTGAGGTGGGGTGGACAGTGGGTAGTTCAATGTTACAATAGAATAAAAAGGCCTATTTCCTAGAAATGTTAAAACTGGGATAAATTGTACTTATATGAAGTACCTAGAGTAGTCAATTCATATAGACAGAAAGCAGAATGGAGATTTCCAGAGACTCAGGGATAAGGAGAATGGGGTCTTAGTATTTAATAGGTACACGGATTCAGTTTTAAAAGAGTTCTGGAAATGGATAGTGATGATGGTTGCACAGGAACATAAGTGCTCTTAATGCCTAACTGTACATTTAAAAATGGTACACACCTATAGCCCCAGCACACAGGATGCTGTGGGAGCATCCCCTGAGACCAGGAGTTCAAAACCAACCTAGGCAACATGGTGAGACCCCATCTCAAATTTAAAAAGATTACAAGGGTAAATTTTATGTATGTAAAAAAAAAAAAAAAAAAACACTAAATAGGAAAAAAACTGGCATATATATTGGATAGAATTTGTTAAGTCTCAAATTCATTCCTACTCTAAGCTCAAGTAGTCTGCTAAGCTACAGGGAATTAAAAGGCCAAAGCAAAATCATAAGCAAAGAAAGAATGGGAAATCAAACAGAAAAAAACTCAAAACTTTTCCAACAATCCTCTCCCACTCTGCATTTCTAGGGTGAGTGTTGACACTTCTATTTTAAGTGTTAAGGAAACAGTCCCTCTGAATCTCACCTCTTCCTACTCTGCACAACAGTCCTCTAATTCTCACAAGCTGATACTTTCAGTTCTTGTCCTCAAAAGGGAATTCCCTGAAGCATGTTAATCCCCCCAACTTCCCACACAGAAGAGTGCATCTACTTACCAAGATTTGCTACGACAGTTGCTAGTTTTTATAGAGACCAAATTTTTTCCTGTTCTATTTGTTAAAACTTCCCTTCAGTTTCAGGTTTTCCCAACATCACCTATTTCCACCTTGCTGTGAGAAATCACTGTTTTCCAGAAATCACAACCATCACCCTGAACAGGAGGCCCCAATGGTTCATTTTGTCAAAACCTCAAAATATTAATGCTGCTCATTGATTCTAGCTGCCTGCCACACCTCCTGCTTCCTGTGCCCCCAAAGTAGCATACCTTACCTTTGGTGTCCTGCATGACAATTGAGCTATACTTTAGGAAGGTTATCAGCAGATTACTGGTCTGTACATCTGCATCCAGTGGGAGTTCCACAGAACTTATAACTGGAATAGAACACATAAAATGCACTTAGCCCATAACATATTCCATCTAACACTCTACCCACATAGCCAATTTGCCAGCAGGCAAGAAAATGACTAAATACACTTTTCCTGCAACAGAAGGAGAACCAAGTACTTACCATAAAACTTGTGTTTACTCTTCCTAGGTCTCTAGAGCCGTACCTACTCCCCAGATTAAGCCCAATAACCTCTCCTATATATAGTAAGTCTCCAGGAATAGTACTTTTCTCCCAAAATCCTAAGAAGAGCTGATTCTACTTCCAGCCCCACATAACCCTAAAGGGTTCAGAGCCCTTCTTAAAAGCACTGTAATTTCTACTTAAAGGAAAGATAAGTATTAAGTATAAATGAGCTTTGCTTTGATGAGTCTCTTGCTTAAAATAAATGAAGATTCCTTCTAAATAAGGAGAAATTTTGCTCAATTTTGAGAATAAGCCTTTAGACTGGAAGTATGCAACTCAAAAGGGGGGAAATAACAGGCAAAACTACATCAAAATTCTATCCCATAATTCTTGCCCCATGAAAGGGAACCTGAAAAAAATAGCAGACTGAAAATAGGTAGACATAACTGATTAGTACAACCTGGGAACTGTTTCATATATCTAGCTGCTGTATCTGTTTTGTTTTCCTTTTTTGGTATCAGGGATTGAACCCAGGGATGCTTAACTTCTGAGCCACATTCCTACCCCTTTTTTTTATTTTGAGACAGGATCTCACTATGTGTTTAGAACCCCATTAAATTGTTGAAACTGGCCTCAAACTTACCATCCTCCTGACTCAGCCTCCCAAGTCAATGGGATTACATGCATGTGCCACTATGCCCAGCTATCCAGCTGTCATTTCTGAAAAAGCCTCACATATACACTGAATCACAGTTCTGATGAACAATGAGGGGCCAGACCAGGACTGACCCACATAGGACAGTCTTAAGGTAGACTTCCAAGATTCTACGACTTCAAATTAAAATTAGTCAACTTGTTAAGTGTTTTCACACTAAGATATAATATAAAAACAAAAGGAGTCTCATGATGGCTCACATAAGCTGGAGAATCTATAGTTTTGTACTATAACTTAAGCCATGAACACTCAGCTGAGTTTAGGATATCATTTATAATATGTATTCATAACTATAATGGATCCCACTGGAGTTATTACAACGTATATAGAAAACGTTTATTAACAATGGGAAACATTTGCATATTATGGATACATAATACACAACAAGCAAAGCAAAAAGCCTTATGAGAGGAAATTGGTATGCCTAACCCTTAGCTGTTTTCCCATAGTTCACCCCCCAAAAAATTACAAAAAGATAAATATAGGGCTGGGGATGTGGCTCAAGCGGTAGCGCGCTCGCCTGGCATGCGTGCGGCCCGGGTTCGATCCTCAGCACCACATACAAACAAAGATGTTGTGTCTGCAGATAACTAAAAAATAAATATTAAAAGATTCTCTAAATAAATAAATAAATAAATAAATAAAAGATAAATATATTTTTATGTTGAAATACTAAAAGGTCTTAATTCATGTTATAAGTTAATGACCTGAGACTGTCATTTCAAACCACAGCTTATTTTAGAAGCTCAGAGCCCATAATCATTCCTTTATCCAATACAAACAGGAATCTAACTAGTAAGTGGGACTTTTTTTTCTGGTTCACACACAGCAATAACTGGAAAACTATCTTATATAATATGTAGAAATATAGAAGTATATGTATTTTTAGTTTACCAGAAAGTCCTCTCATGCCAAGGCGGAGTTGTCAAATGTCAAGTCTGAACTGAGAACAAATGTAACTGCTAAACTGCTGGCTTTTAAAAATAATGGCTCCAGTGACATACCTTTAAATATAACTGGGCTACTGAGCAGCACTATAATTAAAAACCAAAAATTTTTAAAATAAGGTTATAATACTTAGGACCCCTGCAGAAAGGAAATGAGTTAGGAGAGCAAAACAAGAACAAACAGAACAAATAAAATTCCTCACAAATTAAAATCTCCTTCCTAAGGAAGTACCATTCCTTTGATCTTTGGCTTCATAATTCTTCCCAGCAGATTTTTGTCAAGAGTGACAGTCATCTCAAAGTGGGCTGACTTGATCTTCCCACTAGAAAAATAAAAGCTCACTAGTTGTAGGTAAGCAAGCACAAATCCTGCCATTGCATAATCAAGTGTGTGGGTGGAAGTGTTCACAATGAACAGTTTGAAAGGCAGTTCTCTGAAAGCATCCAAATCCCAACATCACATGGAACTGAGGTATGTATGTGTGAGTGAGTGTGTGTGTGTGTGTGTGTGTGTGTGTGTGTGTGTGTATGTGTGTGTGTGTGTGTGGTTTTTGATATCCATGGTAACCAGGCAGGCTTCATCCTTAAAGAGAAAGTACATTCTTTTCATTGGCTTATTCAGTGACCTGAATAAACAGATAAATAGGCAATCCTCACTACTTGCTTCTTCTCATTAAGATATTTTAGAATTTGGCTATAAAGTTGAAACAGATCCCATTTGCTATCACAGACCTGAATATCAATGGCACCTCCCTGCCTTACTCCTGTACTACTTATATCATCTTAAAACACTACTGGCACAAATTCAATATGTAGCTCAGTGAGAGATTGCTTACTTAGTATGCATGAAGCCCTAGGTTTGATCTCCAGCACCCCACCAAAAATAAAGTTAAAGATGAAAAAGCAGAACAAAGGAGGTCATTTCACAACCAAACAGGAGGGAAATAGAAAAAAAAAGAATAAAAAGTGGATCTCCTGTACTTCTTTACACAAAATTAGGTCAACATTTGAGATATAACATCAATATAAATGTAGATTATTTTTAAGTTAAGGAATTCCATCGAACACACTAAGCCTACAATGGAATGAATTCAGGTAAGACAAAGATATCTGGGCAAAGGTCATAATTTATTTTTCCTAATTTAGGATCCATAATAAAAATCATACATACTTATGGGGTACAATATACTTTGATAAATACATACATTGTGTAATATTTAAATTAAGTTACACATATCTAGCTCCTCAAACATACCTTTTTCTTAGGTTCTGTTATCTTTTTCTTATGTTATAAAGTAAAAATTTATTTTCTTGTTTTTAGGGGAAGAAGTCTTAAATACCTACCAAACTCCCAAATGTAATACACTTAAATCCTGGTCATTTCCATCTCTGAGTGGCCAGCAGACACTTAACAGTGAGCAAATCGCAGGTTCACTACCTCATTAGTTTATTCAACAATTATGTACTAAGCTATAACCATGCTAGGACTATGTTTGGGCAAACTAGACACAGTCTCTGCCCTGATTACATATTTTAGTTCTTAGTTTCTATTCTCACAAACCTTTACTCTCAATAAACTGCTTCATTTCTCTGGCCTCAATTCCTTCCTTATCTGTCAAATGGTTGGATGACATAACACTACTATTTTACATTTATTTATTTGAGTATATATTCATATAGTAGTACATTGCATAAAATATATAACTCTTACAAGTACCTGAGAATTTAGCAGAACAGGCAATACTGAACCCTGAGGTCCCTTTCAGAGCTGGCATTTCATTATTCCTGTCAATTCCCTGACAAGGACAAGCTAAAGTTACACTGCTTCTTACTCAAAGAAAAAGCACTTGGCTATCTTTTCCAACGTTTTGGAACTGCAGAAGTACTGAAGGGAATATTATATACAAATTTCTTTTTTTATTTTTATCTTGTTATGATGCCCTACCTGGTCTTGAACTCCTGGATTTAAGTATTCTCCTGCCTTAGCCTCCCTGGTAGGAATACAAGTGCATACCACCCTGCCCAGCTTACATTAATTTCTTACTAAAAGAATTAACTACTGTGTTCCTTGTTTTACAGCTATGCTCACCCTGAAAGATCTAAGATCATATTAATCAATAACATAAAGGAGGTGATGGGCTCACCATCAGAGGAGGGTGGCGTGGTCCCAAGTGGTGTGACTGGAGTTGTTGGGGCAGGACTGACAGGGGTTGTCACCAAGCCCATTTCTGGATGACTCTGAAAGAAGACACAGATTGGTAAGAAAATAGAAATAGAGTTCTTCCTGAAAGTTCAATGAGGAGGGACTTCTACATTTAGTTCCAATGAATGACTGACTAATAAGAAGCTCTGTGGGCCAGGTTTCTTTAAGCAACTATGTTCCTATTACATAAGTTTTTCTGCAGAACAATACAAGTAAAAAATCTGGAGTAAACAAATTATTCAGGTGAATTCGCTTGAAAGAGGGCATTTGCAGTTCTATCCAGACCGGAGAAGGGACTACTCTCATTGGATCAACCTAATATACACCTACAGACTGTTCTAATGACCATAAAATTGACTAATAGAAATAAGTGAACAAAGGAGTACTAGATACCACAAAAAGAGCTATGCCATTAGGAGCTTTCCTGACCCACAAGAAATAAAAGTGTATTGGGTGCAGAGGCAGAGAGACATAGGAAGACATCCAGTAAAAACTAAAACAGATGACTTTTCTGTCTGACTTTCCTCAGCCATCCCTGCCACATTAACTCTTAAGAAGTAAGCTGAGTGGTGGCTCTTTTTAATCGTCCTTCTCTTCTCCACAAACTTTACCAGTCTATTACCTTCATTATTTCTTCGTTTAAAATTAGTCATAGAATTTATTTTTTTTAAAGAGAGAGGGAGAGGAGAGAGGAGAGAGAATTTTAATATTTATTTATTTTTTATTTTTTTAGTTTTTGGAGGACACAACATCTTTGTACGTGGTGCTGAGGATCGAACCTGAGCGGCACAGCATGCCAGGCGAGCGCGCTACCGCTTGAGCCACATCCCCAGCCCCTAGTCATAGAATTTAGAGAGTAGACAAGAAATAATGAGAATKGTAGATAAAATCTCTTATGGTATGTCATGAAAACTAATAAGCATCCTCCAAATCAGAGCCCAAACATGAGCATACTGCTTTTAAAACATGACTTTATTTATTTTAGTTAAAACTCAAATCAGGGCTGGGGATGTGGCTCAAGTGGCAGCGCGCTAGCCTGGCATGCGTGCAGCCAGGGTTCGATCCTCAGCACCACGTACAAAGATGTTGTGTCCGCTGAAAACTAAAAAAAAATAAATATTAAAAAAAATATAAATAAAAAAAAAAAAGCTCAAATCAGCAGTTGGCTATGGTAGTACAAGCCTATAATCCCAGAAACTCTGGAGGCTGAGGCAAGAGGATGGCAAGTTTGAGGCCAGCCTGAGTGACTTAGTGAGATTCTGTCTCAAAATAAAATAAAAAGGAATGGGGATGTAGCTCAGTGGGATAGTGGCCCAGGGTTCTATCCTCAGTACTGGGGTGGGGGAGGGGACCTCAAACAGTAGATTCCATACACATCTTGAGAAAAAAAAACAAAAACACAAGCAAAGTTTTCTTTAATAGAAACCTAAAGTGGATGCATTAGTATAATCCCAGCTACTTGGAACACTGAGGCAGGAGGATTACAAATTCAGGGCTAGCCTAGACAACTTAAAAAGGGTTGGGGATGTAGTTTATGGTAGAGTGCCCATACGTGAGATCCTAAGGTAGGAAGGAAGGAGGAAAAGAAAGGAAAGAAAGAAAGAAACCCACATACATATTTTAAAGAGTCTGGCTAGAAGATAAAAACACTTTTTATCAATTTTTTAACATAGCTTTCATGAACTTGAGTTCTCAGCCTATTTTAGTGTCCTTCTGTCCCAACCACTGAGGATATCACTTAGGCACAGTAAAGTGGTAGCTTGCTCCTTACCACTTACCAATGCAAAGTAGAGTTTAAACAGATATACCAGGTAGCCTTATTAATGAAATGAATCTGTATGAAATTCAGGGGAAAAAAGGAATTGGGATATTTAAAGTAACCAACCTGAGCTAATACTGTGATGAAGTTGCGATTTAAATGAACAGCTTCATAAAGTGCCAGAAGAATGGCCTCATTGGTTCTAAAGAAAAAGAGAACAAATTGGAGTAGGCTCTTAAAGTGGAGAAGTTAAAATATTATACCCATCAAGACAAGATTTCACCATAGTTCTCTATTACCAATCCCTTTGAGTTTCAAATGTTCCCTTTTACTTTCCTTTTGGGAATATGCAAAAGTGTACAGGTAAAAACCCTAATTCCCATGACCATTTCTATTTTTTTAATTTTTTTTAGCTGTAGATGGACACAATACCTTTATTTTACTTATTTACTTAATTTTATGTGGTGCTGAGGATCAAACCAGTGCCTCACATGTGCTAGGCAAGCGCTTTATGACAGAGCTACACCCCCAGTCTGACCATTTCTTATTCTAGTTCATTCACTACCTTCCCTCTTGCTTTTCTACCCCAACAGTTAAATCCTTAACTACCTCAGATACCCAGCCCTTTTTCCTTTAATTCCAGAGAGAAATGAGAATAGTTTTTCAGTTTGGGAAGCTCTATACATATAAGACCAAAGCAGATATTTCCAAGGGTCCATTACTTAAAACCCAGCCAGAGCCATGCATAGTGGCATATGCTGTAATCCCAGCAACTAGGATGGTTGAGGCAAGAGGCTTGCAAGTTCAAGACCAGCCTCAGCAACTTAGTGATAGCCTATCTCAAAATAAAAAAGGGCGAGGGATATGGCTCAGCAGTTAAGCACATTTGGGTTCATTCCCCAGAACCAAAAAATAAAAATAAATAGAAAAATAAAACCCAATCTCAACTAAGGAGGCTAAGACAGGAGGTTCAACAAATTCGAAATCATCCTGAGCAATTTAGCGAGGATGATCCTTTCTCAAAAAAAAGGGCTGGAGAACCAGGCACAGTGGCACATGCCTGCAATCCCAGCAGCTCAGGAGGCTGAGGCAGGAAGATCAAGAGTTCAAAGCCAGCCTCAGCAACAGAAAGGTGCTAAGCAACTCAGTGAGACCCTATCTCTATATAAAATACAAAATAGGGCTGAGGATGTGACTCAGTGGTCAAGTGCCCCTGAGTTCAATCCCTGGTACACCCACACACACAAAAAAAGGGGAAAATAGCTATAACTACTTAGCTACAGTACTTAGCATGCACAACATCCCTGGGTTCAATTCTAGCATCAAAAACAAGCAGAAAGCAAAAAAAAGAAACATTAGATAAACCACCCCAAAAAAGTTTGAAAAAGATTAGTAAGAGGTAACCTTTTCCACTCTCATAACCAGCAAGATAGCCTACACTAAAATTCAAGTCACTGCACAAGAATGTCAAGACACTTACTGTACTGAGATTTTCTCATGGGCATCTGCTATGAACATGCTGCCCACCTGTGGAAGAAAAGGAGAATTGCAGACTTTAAACAGTAGGATGCAAGAAAAAGTTATGTGCCTAGAAAGCCTTTAAATTAGTGTAAAATCAAATTCTTTCCAGCAGGAAAAGACTTAGAACTTTGGATCATCAGCCACACACACAACACCAGTTCACTTTGAAGATCTCAAAAGATTTATAAGTAATAAATGAAGAGAATCCAACTGAATCAGCTTGTCTCAAAGGACTTTTTTTAAAATCCCAGTATTTTTATGTAGTCCTTCTTTCTTCCAGTGTGTAATTTAGCCACTGTCAACTAAAAGGACATACAATTCCTTATCACTCTGCATCTTTCCTATAAGTTGCTGATTTGCAGTCACAAACTAACCCATAAAGAATGTCAAGGAAGCCAGGCACGGTAGCACACCCCTGTAATCCCAGCAGCTCAGAAGGCTGAGGCAGGAGGATCACAAGTTCAAACCAGGCTCACCAAAAGCGAAGCACTAAGCAATTCAGAGAGACCCTGTGTCAAAATATAAAATAAAACAGGCTGGGGATGTGGCTCAATAACCAAGTGCTCCTGAGTTCAATCCCTGGTACCCCCCACCCAAAAAAAGAAAATGTCAAAGAAAGCATGCTGATTACATCCAACTAGATATTTAGGGGATATATGCATTTCAGACAAGAACTGTGTGAGATCCATGCTTATCCTTCAGATCACAAAAATCTTAGTTTGTAACAGCAGGCAAATAGGTAAAAGGCATAAATTGCCTCTCAAATGTGTGATTTCAGAGGCATGTAAAAGATGCTCACCCCCTAAAAATGCCACAAAACTTTTTCTCCTTGACTAAAAGTAGAAGGTCCCTGTGAGCAACATAATTAGATCTAATTTGTATAATCAAACACCAATACAAAACTCATACTTCTCTTGCCTCTGAGAGATTTCACTCATTCATGCCTCAGAGTTTAGCAGGTTCTTTCCTGAGAGCAGGCTCTGAGAAGAAAGATGGGAAGACACTGGGGGGAAAAAATTGCATCTTTGTGTGGGAGGAGATAGGGCAACTGTTTCTTGCAATAAACTAAGTAACAATCTTGCTCTAGAGCTGATTACTTGGATACTAATGCCTAAGAAGACAGACTTTGTGAATCTGCCTAAATTCTAGAACCTCCTAGATTTCTCTCTTAAAAATTAGCCCCATATTATCTGATCCAAAATGCCAATGCTTCCAAAGTTATGAAACCTTACTCTGGAGTATTGCAAGCTAGACCAATATCTTTTCCTAAACCTTGGACCTCTCTGCCCAGACCCTAACTAAGCCTTTAGAGGAGTAGCTCACATCCACTATACTGTGACCCTTTGACCACAGTTCCAGCTATTAGGGATCACATGGCCACAGGAAACTATAAAAGAGCATTTGGGGTGGGGGGTAGGGAGGACTCAGATCTAAACTCTCCTATTTTTTTTAAACTTTTTTAGATGTTGATAGACCTTTATTTTATTCATTTATTTATATGTGGTTCTGAGAATCCAACCCACTGCCTCACACATGCTAGGCAAGTGCTCTATCACTGAGCCACAACCCCAGCCTCTAAACTCTCCTATTCTTTGTTCCAAGGGTCAGTCTGCAATCAGGGTCAACACTTACAAAAGCAAAAGTCTTCCTATGCACCTTTTCTTCAGCAATCAATTAATTAGGAAAAAAATGAATCCAAGAGGAGTCAAAGCTCCCCTCTCCCCRTCTTATCTAGTTTTGGAACTCAATAACAGAGACAAAGTTCCAAATAAAATCTGCTCTGAGTAGCCTCTCTTATGCCATGATGATGGCCCTTCATCATTCTATCACCTCAAACATCTGAATATCTGATGCCAGATTTACCTAACCCTGCATTTCTGAGCAGGAGAAAAAAATAAGTAGGACTTACCATATTTGTTAAAGCAGAGAAAAAGCCACTCTGGTGTTCTTCTTCCTTGTCTTTATACTGTCTAAACAAAAAAAAAAGAACTAAATTCAACTTTAGGATTACTTATGAAATACATCTTTGTCCTCAACATTCTAGATAATCAGGGCAGAGCTCTCTGAATTCTCTAACTTCAGAAGACCAAAGCATTATGACAATGCCACTGCAGTTCCCCCGCAAGCTAGAGGCACCCATCTGCTCCTGAAGTAGTGTGTACCAAAATGCCTGGCTACTTTGGGAGAGACTTAGAAAGCAAGCTGGAAAAGTGTGAAACTGCTCTAACATATGGCTGATCCAGTTATTTCCCAAACAGACTATTACTTGAAAAGTGTGACAGTGAAATTACGTCAAGGCTGTAACAGTGAAAATCTTGTTTGTTTCTGAAGGAAAAGGAGGAAAACCAAAGAGCTAAAACATGTGGAGATGGGACAGATTTGAAATCCTGACACCAATTGTGTGTAAGGAAAGTCTGGAAAGAAGCAAGAAAAATCCTTCATGGCCTTTGCAGGGATTAGAGATATTTCAGGTTTTCAATCGTGGAATACCATATCCTTCCCCTATGCACAGCTAGAGGAAAAACAAATATCAATGAAGAGAGCCCCCAGAGTAAAGAGGGACACTGGGAAGGTGAGGGTGATCACTAGTAAAAAAGAAACATAGCTCAAACATGTGGTAGAGCACATGCTTAGCATTCATGAGGCCCTGAGTTCAATCCGCAGGAGAGAGGGAGGTGAGTGGGAGGGAAGTGAGATAGATCTGTCGAAGTTGATTTAACTCAATACACTTTCTCCTTTTATTTATTTAGGTACTGGGGATTGAACCCAAGGATACTTTACCAATAAGCTATAGTCGCAGTCCCTTTTTTTTTTTTTTTTTTTTTTTGGTAGTTGTAGATGGATACAATACCTTTATTTTATTAATTTATTTGTATGGTACTGAGGATTGAACCCAGGGCCTCACATGTGCTAAGCAAGCACTCTACAACCCCAGTCCAGTCCCAGTCCTTTTTATTTTTTATATTGAGACAAGACTCCCTAAGTTGCTTGAGGGTCTTGCTAAGTTGCTAAGGCAGGTCTCATACTTCCTATCCTCCTGCCTAGCCTCCCAAGTCACTAAGTTTACAGGCATGCACCACCATGCCCAGTTTCCTTTATTTTTTTTTTTTAAGAGTACAAAAAAGTGGTATGTCACAAACTTTTTTATATTAGAAAATAATATTTGTATGACACATGGGCTGAATGAAATAGACTGCTTAAAATGGGAAAACTAGTAAAAATGTTCTGCAAAAAAATACCCATAAACTGCAAAAGAATGTTCCTATTTGCTTAAACCAAAGATGGATGCTAATCTGGTGGCTATTTTTATCCTGGTTTTAAAAACAACCCCTGCTCTGTGAGGTGTGGTGTTGCAAACCTATAATCCCAGCAACTCAGGAGGCTAAGTCAGGAGAGTTCAAGTTCAAGGCCAGTCTCAGCAAGGTCTTGTTAACAAGGCCCTAACCAACTTAGTAAGAACCCTGTCTCAAAATAAAAAAATAAAAAAGAGCTGGGGAGGTAAAGTGGTAAAGCATACCTAGATTCATCTCCAGTACCAAAAATTAAAATTAAATAAATAAATAAATAACAACCCCTGCTACTACCATCAAGCTGAGCTGGAGCAAACTGATTTTATACCTCTGAATACTCTTTTGGGATAGGTCCAGGGGATTTAACCTAAGAACTATAACAACCCTGTTCCCTACACAACTAATTCAAATAAAAATTGGACTTTTCCCTTCTGGAAAGATTGACTTACCTATTATACTCAGATAAAGCCTGAGCAATTACAAGCCCCATTCCCTGAAAGAGAAAAGATAGTTCAGATGAAATAAATGAGTAGCCTTTGTGGATTGGTGGTGATGTTATGACTCAGCCATGAAAAACATTAAACCCCCATGGACCATGCCCATGAAGTTCTGTCTAAAAGTTGGCAACAATCACAGAAATTTTGAAAGGTACTATCAAACCAAGAGGGAAAAAACTCTTTGGAAATATTTTTTCTTATCTAATTAATGTTCTTAGATACAATTTAAAATAAAGTAATGTTCCCAGATACAATTTAAAATAAAGTAATGTTCCCAGATACAATTTAAAATAAAGTAACAAGGGCTGAAACAGACCAACTCAGATTACTGACAATTTCACTAGGATCATTTTCATTCTGAAGAGAAGACTAAGCTAGAATATTCAAACAAAAAGCCCTCATTTACCTTCAAAACAGCCACAATAAAAGGGACAATGAGTCCCATGCTAAATGAAGGTGCATATAGATGAGCCAATCACTCAGGCCACAAGAAAACAGCAATAAAAAGGAAAGAGGCATCCAATAAATGTTAAAGTAACTTATCAACTTTCCAGGAGAACCTGTAAAACCTAATACAAAGATCAATTGAGGATGCAAGGATGAATCGTGTGTACATTTTTTTCATAAGGGAAATTGAAGAAAATAGGATAGAAAGGAAATAAAGTCAGACACCTGGCCATCTTCTTCTCTCCATATTCAGAGACCAGATATATTATTATCTCACACACTTTCAAGAACATATATAGCAAATATATATCATCCTTCAGCTTCACCAAATCAGGCTCTTTATATCATCTAGCTTGTTCCACAAGAAGGAATCTCCCATCATTAAGTCACCTAAGCTTTCTTACTCCTGGATGTATAACTTATTGACTTTATAGGAAGTCAAACTCAGCACACTACAACATGAAAATAAGTAGCCACTTCATCATGAATAGCAAGCAAAAAATGTCCCCTCAAACCTTTCTTCCATGACACTAAGAAGACGACTCTAAAAATACCAATTCCCTCTTTCTAGCCAAAGAAATCAACACAATACCTCTCTGCTCTCTTGTTCTAAATGTCCACTGAAAATAAGGCCACTGAATTCAAGTAAGACAATACACCAAGATCCAGATACTCACATTGAGTGTGGCCTCGTCATCCACAATAGACAGCTTCACAATATAAGGATTCACAGACTGTAAACAACAGAAGAGAGTCAAGGTGAGTGTGACCTAGTTAAAAAAGCCCTTCAGCTATTTAAGAAAGTATTAACAGGGGGCCGAGGATATAGCTGAGTGGGAAAGTGCTTGCCTGCCATGAGTGAGGCCCTGGGTTCCATTCCTAGTACCACCAAAAAAAAAAAAAGGGCTTGTTTAAGGCCTTTTTCTCTACAGTGATATTACCAAAACCCAGCCCCAAACCTCTTGAGTGCTGACTCCCCTAATTTCCAAAAAATTTCTCAGCATATATGGGCGTTTATCAAATGCACAGATGTACATGAATACACGTACATACACACAGGTCAGTTCTGTTCTACCCACATTTTCCTCTAGGCTGAATTAGCTCAAGCCTATGTCTATAACTTCGCCCACCTTTCCTTCTTACTTGTTTCTAAAAAGTAAGTGAACATTCCACAAAACTCACTTTGTCCTACCATCCCAAGTCCTTAGGGATATTGTCTTAGGAGACAGAAAAGCTTCCCTGCCATAAGGCACATATGTAAGTTATTAACTTACATTCTCAATCCAAAGGCTCCCTAACCATTTCACAAACTATATACAAGGACTGATTCACCCACTCTTAAAACAAAGCCATCTTGGGGGTAGAAAGTGGCAGCTGCTTAACAGCTAGAGAGGCCATTTATGGAGATCTGATTCCCAAATAACACTGCAGGGGAGCTGGAAAAAAAAAAAAAGATGTAATTACACAAGCAATAATCTGGTTAGGACACTGGGATTTAATGATTGTCCCATCACTTATAGCACTGAAAGATTTCTTGAGTTTTTAGTGACCCAATTTCAGCTGGGAAACATATGGAAATGGACATATATTTAAACTTATTAGACAACTGAGCCATCTCCTACAAGTGATACAGGAACCAATGACCTGCTCACCTTGAAAATATCCCACACATAGGATGTATAGAAAGACCTCATACAGATCAGGCACCAACTCTAGCCCAAGGGAAGCTAGTAACAATAGTCTCAGACTAGCAGTTTTTATAGCTACAAGAAAACTCATTAGGAAGAAACTTGAAAACCCAATTGAAAGGCTAACCCCCCCTGACCCCCCCCCCTCAGAGAGCTCATTTAATTAAGATTCTGAGAGCATCTTTTGCATTGTCAACTGGGACAGAAAAAGAGAGCTTTGCTTAACAGTCCAAATGTTTATAAAGTTTTACATAATATAACTCAAAGAGGTAGAACCCACTCCATTTGTTACTTGTTTTGACTATAGTAAGGCTCTCAATACATCTTCCTGTAACCAACAGTCAAATCCCACTGATATAACAAACTTCAGGAAAGATCCAATGCATGTAGATCCTTGGAAAAGACAATCTGCACTTAGCTGATCTAGAGATGTCACCAGGATGACAGCAACATTAGAAAGAGCAGACCACCCAGGCACAATGGCAGGCTGAGGCAGGACAATCACAAGTTCAAGGCCAGCCTCAGCAATTTAACAAGGCTCTAAGCAACTTCGTGAAACCGTCTCAACATTAAAAAATAAAAAGCATCGGGGCTATAGCTTAGTGATAAAGTGCCCCTGGGTTCAATCCCCAGTAAAGGAAAGACAGAAAAAGGAGGGAAGGAAGGGAAGGAAAAAAAGAAGAATAGACCATAGCCAGGTGCAGTAGCCCATGCCTATAACCCCAGCAACTTGGAAGACTGAGGCAAGAGAATCACAAGTTGAAGCCAGCATGGACAATTTTGCAAGACCCTGTCTCAAAACAAAAAATAAAAATGGCAGGGATAAAGTTCAGTGATAGAGTGTCCCTGAATTCAATCTCTAATACCCTAATAAAAATTAATAAATAAATTAATTAATTAATTTTAAAAAGGAAAGAAAGGATAGACCAAGAGACCACTGTTTCTTGGCAAAATTTTTCCATGTCTTAGTCACTCAGCTTCCCAAAATTAGGCAGTGTTAGGTAACAGAAAGAATCATCTGATTACTAAGACCAGCATATGCTTCAGCAGCAGCTGAGGAAAAGGCAAAGCAGCTAAAAGCAAAGGTCTGAGTTCCAATTCCTCTTCTTATTAATTATGACAAGTTCACATTAATTAACCTAAGTTTCAATTTCTTCAACTGTAAAATGGGGATATTTTTTATCCTGGGACTGCTAAAATAATTTAATTAAATAAAACATGTAAAATCCTTAACATATATCTGGCATATAGTTAGAGCTTAATAATTGGTAGCTGGGTTGGGGCTGTAGCTCAGTGGCAGAGTACTTGCCTAGCATGCATGAGGCACTGAGTTCAATTCTCAGCACTACATAAAAGAAATAAACAAATAAAATAAAGGCATTCTGAAGAATTGTAATGCAAAATAAATAAATAAATAAAAATCATTAAAAAAAATAAAGGCATTCATTCTGTCCATCTACAACTACAGAAATAAAAATTAAAAAAAAAAAACTGGCTGAGGTTGTGGCTCAGTGGTAGAGTGCTCGCCTAGCATGCATGAGGCACTGGGTTTGGTCTTCAGCATCACATAGAAATAAAATAAAGATATTAGGCCTACCTAAAACTAAAAAATCAAATATTAAAAAATAATAATAATAATTGGTAGCTGTTATTTTTTCCCCTTTAATATTATTAGCATTCAAAGAAAAGTTCTTTAGAAAAAAGAGAGAAGGGGAAAAAAAAAGAAAAGGAACAATTTCCAAGTAGATGTAATAAACAATTTTGTGATTTCTGTGATATACCATGCTCAGGATAGCAGTTGGATCTGTGTCACTTCATCTCAAATGACTTGACCAGCCTAGAAGGCCAGGATCTTGATGGTGTGAAAATTTCTATTCTTCTAGACACTGATTATCATTAATACTGAACCTGTTGTGCTGGTCACTTTTTTTTTCCCCAAACTGATCAATAATTTATTCATATCAATAAAAAATCACCACCTGTGATCTTGTTGAATTAAATCAGGAGTGCAGGGACACACAGGCATATCAAAATCATTTCGAGAACACCAACTATAGAAGTCTATCAATGCCCTCAGATATAACCCCATTACTCCTAAAAAGAGAAGCATTCCAAGTCAAGCACTGATCAAGTTGGAGGTTTTATAAATCATTTGGCCTTGGGGCTCCATCAATACCAGTCACAACACAAGTCTGATTAGAAGGGGGTCCAGGAGTTTCAACTAAGCATGAGAACTAAGCCCCATATCCTAAAGGAAGTTAGTATGTTTACCTGGACCTAGAGTCACCAGAGGTTCTCCTGAGGTGATAACCAGTTGATCAAAAGCAGTTTGAAAAGATGTAGCCATCTTTAGTCTTCTAGAACAGCCATAACTAGAACAGATGACCCCTCATGCCTTCAGAGGGAAGGGCAATCTCTTGCTAGTGATTTCCATCTTTGTAGAGGGAAGCATAACCCAGGTGTAGATAACCCCCACTCTGGGCGCTTACTCATGCTGTGCTGGTCATTTTTAAAACTAGAGGTAGGCTGGGACTGTGGCACACCTGCCTGCCATGTGTGAGACACTGGGTTTGATTCTCTGCACCGCATATAAATAAATAAAACAAGGTCTATCAACAACAAATATATATATATATATATATGTATATATTTTTAAAAATTATTAAAAAAAATACTAGAGGGAATCTACTTTTTTACCCACCGGACAGAATTACAAATTCAGTGAGCCTTCACAGAATCATTCCAATGGGATCCTGCCTTTATTTGACCTAAGTTTTTGTTTTTGTTTTGGAACCAGGGATTGAACTCAGAGGCACATGACCACTGAGCCACATTCCCAACCCTATTTTGAATTTTATTTAGAGACAGGGTCTCACTGAGTTGCTTAGCACCTTGCCCATTGCTGAGGCTGGCTTTGAACTCAGGATTCTCCTGTCTCAGCCTCCCTGCTGGGATTACAGGTATGTGCCACTGCACCCAGCTGATCTATTTTACTTGTTATTTTCATTATTCTTCCCTAGACCTTTTTGTTTATTGGTTTAGTTGATTTGGGGCCTCCTCTACCTCTTTAGATGATATATTAACTACATGGCATCTTTTCCATGATTTCTATTCCTTATGTCCAATACCTCATTTACTTTCTTAGTTGGGTATCTAGGTTGTCTAATAACCTCTGTACCTTTCTAGAACTCATTTTTATTCTTCTGGTCATGGGATCAACTCTGGCGATAGCTAGAATGCTATTCTCCCTAGTACACCTTCTTCTACTTATGAAAACTACTAGTTTACTACTAGTTTTCATAAGATTTCACCAGCTTTTGGTTTTGCTATGTTCATCTGAAATTCCTCGTGTTCCTGTCAAAAACCTTCCTGCTCTTCAATTCCCAGACATCCTTAATGGTTTCTGTTGAGTGACTTATAACAAAAGCTGCAAAGCCCAGATAAATTATGCCCACCAGCTTGCCCCTGCCTACTATATTAATTCTTCTGGGGGCATCTGACAGACCAAAGATGCATACTTCACTCCAGAAATGTGATTTTCTCCAGTTCCTTGGCCAGGTCCAATTTTTCAGGCTGACATTTCAGAAAGCCCTACTGAGCTAAGCCTGGGTTCAGTTTACAGTTAGAAAAGCCAAACTATTGCCTCAGAATAGCCTGCATCCACCAGAACGTTCTGAAAATATTCATTACTGATGATGATGCATTCCTGTCACATAACTCAACTCTCTTTAACTATCCTCAGCACTTTTCCTCAGCTATTTTTCTTGTTGTTGTAATAAGGCTCCAGAGGCATTCACACATGACAGAGATCACAACGGCTACCATGCCAGTCCCTTCAGATCACCAGTACAACAGGTATTGGTGATAAATTATATATTTGCTAGTAGTTGTATGCCCCAYTCGTCAGGTCCTCCAAGATAATAAAAATAAACAACTCCTAGGATTTATAACACATTAACATTTTTCCATATTCCAGTCCCTCTTTAATTATTTCCTTCTTACAGCCTTTCCTTCTTCCATATCCCTCCTTATAAGAATAAGCTCCACAGGCTGAGGATATGGCTCAGCAACAGAACACTYGCCTAGCACTTGCGAGGCACTTGGTTCAATTCTCAGCACCATATAAAAATAAATAAAATAAAAGATACTGTGTCCAACTACAAGTAAAAAATATTAAAAAAAGAAAGAAAGAAAGAAAAGAATAAGCTCCAGGGCTGAGGATATAGCTCAGTTGGTAGAGTGCTTGCCTTGCATGTACAAGGCCCTAGGTTCAATCCCCAGCACCACCAAAAAAAAAAAAAAGAATAAGCTCCAGCTGGGCTTGGTGGCACCCACCTGTAATCCCAGCTACTCAGGAGGCTGAGGCAGGAAGATCGCAAGTTCAAAGCCAGCCTCAACTACAGCAAAGCGCTAAGCAACTCAATGAGACCCTATCTCTAAATAAAATACAAAATAGGGATGGGGATGTGGCTCAGTGGTCAGGTGCCTCTGAGTTTAATCCCCAGTACCAAAAAAAAAAAAAAAAGAAGAAGAAGAAGCAGCAGCAGCAGCTCCAGATTTTGTGTTACCCCTCACTTTGAACCTGCCCAAATAAATTCTAACTAGGAATCATATCAAAAATCACTAAGAGCCAGAAGCTCAGAAAAGAAAATCTTCTCTCCAACTGGCCCATTTCTCATAGTGCTGCTGCTACTCATTAAGGGGAGAAAGTCAGGTTGCCTCAAGTAATACATGACTTCCTGGTTTAGTGAAGTACTCCTGTTGTCTAGGACTATATGTAAAAAACTTCCTTGTCCTTAAAAGGAATCCCCAATGAAGGCCCTGGTCTTCCCTGAGTATTCTCCTTCCTTTTCGGTGTATTCTGCCTTCTGAAAGGAACCAAGTACATATATCAAACCCACACATTGATCTCTGGGATCTGTTCTTCATTTCAAAAATCTGTTCCCTAATTAATTCAGGGGCAAAGACAACTCCAGAACTGATATGGGTAAGGCCCTGCCTTCAACTTTTTCATTAAAATCAGAAAAAGTTTTCAAACCATCAGTAATACTTATACAAACAGACTTTATTAAGGAAATATAATAAAAATAAGAATCTTTCAAACCAAATGCACTAAGTCAGTGGTTCCCAATCCTGACTAATCAACCTACTGAACTGGGGATTTCTAAAATAATAATAATGTTGGGTTTTTTGTTTTGTTTTGTTTTKTTTTTTTTTAGTTATAGGTGGCCACAATGTCTTTATTTTATATTTATGCGGTGCTGAGGATCAAACCGAGTGCCTCACGCATGCTAGGCTAGCGCGCTACCTCTGAGCCACAATCCCAGCCCAATAATAATGTTTTTAAAAAGATTCACAGCTCCCCTCCCACAAAATTCTACATCAGTGTGGTATGTCCAGATTAAAGTCCAAAACTTTTTTCTTTTTAACAAATTCGTAAGTCACTCTAATAAGTGCATTTAGAAGCCACTACATTAAGAGATACTTCATTAGAAACTATACTACAGAGAGCTGGGTATGGGGGCACACACCTATAATCCCAGAGCTCAGAGGCTGAGGCAGGAGGATTGAAAGTTCAAAGTCAGCCTCAGCAACTTAGCAAAGCCCCAAGCAACTCAGCAAGACCCTGACTCTAAATAAAATATAAAAAGAATCGGAGATGTGACTCAGTGGTTATACTACAAGATTCATTTAAACAACTATATTCTCTGCCCCATGCATTTAATTATTGCATTTGAAGAATTTGGTTTATCAAAATTAATCTTCACACTATCTACCGAGAACATATCTTCCACATTTAAGAGGCGCCACATGTAGGAAGATTATAAAAAGAACAACTGCCCTTCAGGGTCCCCGTACCTCATATTTTCTGTAGTTTACCAGCAAAGCCAAGAGGACAACAGCATCATACCCATGCTCTCTACGACTTGGGGGATGGGAGAGTATCTGTAACAAGAACCAAAAATATGTAACTCCTGACTGCTAACTCCTGGCACCTGAGTAAACAGACCAATAACATTTGAGGAGATGATCTATCCAAAAGACAACGAGGTGACACAGCTACCTGTAAAATTGCTTCAAATATGCTGTTGATCATTACATACTCCAGGATAGTGTTCTGGCTGATGTTGTCTGTCACCTGAATGGAATAAAAAGCCTTTTAAGTCTGTTTTAAGGCACTTGATATCTCATGTATCATATCTCCTACCCTAATGTCTAAGTGAAATGGAAATGTAGAAACACTCTACTAGATACTTAGTAGACCTTTAACAAGCATAAGCACCCCAAAGCTACCAGAGCCTGAATAGGCAGTCACTATGAAGGTAGGAAATTAGCAAATTAAAACTTCCTAAATCTGAACTTATTATTTCTCTCATGCTCTCACAAGCATTTGCTTAATAGTTTCCTGGGTTTCATTCCTTAAATATACAGGAAGACATTCACAAATCCCAAAGTCTTCAAGAGGTGGGAGGAAAAGGGAAGTACCTGAAGTATATAAACAACATCTCAGCCTCCCTTCCACTAAGGAGTAGAGGCAAGTGTCTAGTTATAAAATCAAAACCACGGCTGGGGTTGTGGCTCAGCGGTAGAGCACTTGCCTAGCACATGCAAGACCCTGGATTTGATCCTCAGCACCACATAAAAATAAATAAATAAAAGATATTGTGTCCAACTACAACTAAAAAATATTTTTAAAAAATAAAATAAGGGCTGGGGATGTGGCTCAAGCAGTAGCAAGCTTGCCTGGCATGCACAGGGCGCTGGGTTCAATCCTCAGCACCACATAAAAATAAAATAAAGATGTTGTGTCCACCAAAAACTAAAAAATAAATATATTAAAAAATTCTCTCTCTCTCTCTCTCTCTCTCTCTTAAAAAAAAATTTAAAAAAATAAAATAAAAGCAAGACCATATAAAAATATTCAGAATTACAAGAGCCATTTTCAAGTGAAACCTGATGAGGACAAATCTGACAATCTAGAAGATTGTAGTTCTCCTAAAATGGTCCTTCTTTTTTTTTTTTTGAGAGAGAGAGAGAGAGAGAGGGAGAGAGAATTTTTTGTTGTTGTTTTGTTTTGTTTTCGGCAGACATAACATCTTTTGTTTGTATGTGGTGCTGAGGATCGAACCCGGGCCGCACGCATGCCGCTTGAGCCACATCCCCAGCCCCTAAAATGGTCCTTCTAAAATGATAAGTATCACATCATCTGCAGGCTAAAAATTCTAGCAGTTACTCCACAGAATAACTTCCAGGAAGCAAAAGTCCAGGCAACTACTASCTTATATACATTCAGATAAGAGGAAGTGATGCAATACCCCAGTAGAGAATTTTTTTTCCTCTTTTCACTCTAATTTTGGGCTCAAATATTCAAATAAGCTTGCCTCTGCTGTCAGTTAATACCCTTGACAAACATATAAATGGATTACTTACAGTCACTAAGCAAAGTAGTAATTTCAGACATAAACTCTTCAGACTTTCAGAACCTTCTGCACAAAGCAGTGAATCCAAACTCTCCATCAAGTTCTGAGAAAGAGAACCATTAAATATTAAGCCATACCACTAAACACCTACATCCCATCTTTGCCCAACTCTGGGTTATGTTACACAGGGTAATGTGAATAATGCACCAYGAAGCAACTATATCGTTCCCCTAGGCCTAGCCCTTGCAAAATCAAAGAAAAAGAAGATTTCAAAGTCTAGCTATTTGGGGGGAAATGCTTGAGAACAATTCCACAAAACAATGAAGAATTTACTCTTCTACCAAATGAATGTTTGCAGCCTGTCATCCATATTTAAATCTTCAGATTAGAATGGGGTAAGTTGAAAAAGGAAAACCTAATGATTAAATAACTGTATATAGAGATATCATCACTTGATTTAGTATACTGAAGAAATGACAAAGGGACAATATCACTACTGGCATCACTGGCCATAAGTACTAACAAAGATGTGTCCATCCTGGTCAAATTCCTTGACAATGTGATTTGAGTTTATTTCTTGCACTAAAAATCAGCTTTTAGACTCAAACTAATCAAAAGATGAAACTTGCCAGGTGAGGTGGTACACATGTGTAATACCAGCAGCTCAGGTGGTACACGCATGTAATACCAGCAGCTTATTTGAATACTTGAGGCAGGAGGATTGTAAGTTCAAAGCTAGCCTCAGCAACTTAGTGAGGCCCTAAGCAACTTAGTGAGACCCTGTCTCTAAATAAAATATTATCTAGATATTGGGATGTGGCTCAGTGGTTAAGCACCCCTGGGTTCAATCCCTGGTATCAAAAAAAAAAAAAAAAAAAGATAAAACTTTTATATACTGGGGGCTGGGGATGTGGCTCAAGCGGTAGCACGCTCGCCTGGCATTCGTGCAGCCCGGGTTCAATCCTCAGCACCACATACAAACAAAGATGTTGTGTCCGCCAAATACTAAAAAATAAATATTAAAAAAAAAAACTTTTATATACTATAACAGATGGAAGAAGAAAGGAAATATTCTAGTTAAATAGAGGAGAAAATTGAATAGAGAATAAGTTCAAAATAAGCTTCTTCAGTTCAAGTCAATAAATGTGTAAGCATCTACTATGATAGTGTACTTTCAAAGAATATAAGAAAAAATAACTGGTGACCCTTGCTTTCGAGGTGCTTTTAGTCTAATGGGAGAGAAAAATAAGCAAACAATATCAATTCAAAGTTAACAATGACAGAAATATACATGGAAGAAGAGTAGTAGCTCAAAAGTCACCTATTCCAGCTGGGTGCGGTGGTACACACCTGTAATGCCAGCAACTCAGGAAGCTGAGGCAGGAGGATTGTGAGTTCAAAGCAACTTAGCAAGGCCCTAAGCAACTTAGTGAGACCCTGTCTCAAAATAAAATGTAAGAAAGGGGTGGGATTATGGCTCAGAAGTTAAGCATACACACACACACACACAMAAAAAAAAATCATCTATTCCAGGACTCCTCAGAGGTTAGTCTGATTTTGCAAAATCAGTAGGAATTAATCAAAACTTGAGGAGGAAAGAGATTCCTGACAGGCATTATCATGATCAAAGACACAAGAGGAATGAAATGGCCCTGGGCATGGGGATGGAATACAAGTAGTTTGTTATTAGAGCAGAATAAAGAATGAGGCTGAGGCACAGAGGTAAGAGACGAGACTGGAGAAATAAATATGGTACAGGTATGAAAGTTTTATAAGGCTAACTAGGGAGTTTTCTTTATCCTATTAGTAATAAAAAGACTAATAGAGGATTTTAAGCAGAAAAGATCTGAGTATAAGTTACATCACTCTGGTATCAGAGTGGATGAGAGGTTTAAAGATGGTAAGCCTGGAGGAAGGGAGACCAAAGAGAACAAATCTATCAATTTCCTCAGCCATGTCTTATTTACCTCTGTATCCCCAGTGCCTAGCAAAGTGCTAACATATAGGAGCTCAAAAAATGTTTGTCAAAAAAGTCCAACTACAACTAAAAAATAAATATTAAAAAAAAAAGAATGAATAAGCTGGGGCTAAGGTTGTGGCTCAGTGGCAGAGCGCTTTCCTAGCATATGTGAGGCATTAGGTTCAACCCTGAGCCCTACATAACAAATAAAATAAAGGCATTCTGTCCATCTACAACTACAAAATAAAAAATAAAAAAAAAGAATGAATAAGCTGGGCACAGTGGCAATGCCTGTAATACCTGAAATTCAGGATGCTGAGGAGGAAAATCACAAATTTAAGCACAGCCTCAGCAAATTTGGAAGCCCACAGCAATTCAGAGAGATCCTATTTCAAAATAAAAAATAAAAAGGGTGGGGGACATGGCTCAGTGGTAAAGCACCTCTGGGTTCAAACCTTAGTTTGAAAAAAAAAAAAAAAGAGGAAGAAATAAAGGCATCACTATAATAGTTAAGGTGAGATATAAAAGACCAGTGGCAATAGGGGAAGAAAAGACAGATTTGAGAAAAATCTGCTGAGGTAAAACTAGCTGTAGTGATCATTTGGAGATAAAAATGAGGGAAAGGCAGGCTGAGGTTGTGGCTCAGTGGTACAGCACTCTCCTGGCATGAGTGAGGCACTGGGTTCAAACCTCAGCACCACATAAAATAAATAAATAAACAAACAAAATAAAGATATTGTGTCCACCTCCAACTAAAAACAAAAACAAAAAAAGATGGAAAGGAAAAAAAAAATCAAGGATGACTCCCAGGTTTTTGGCTTGGGGCCTGAGAAGACAGGTGCCCACTCTAAAAGAAAAGGAATGAGAAGAACAGGTACAGGAGAAACAATAAGTTTCATTTTGGAAATGTCAACCAAGAGGTATCTATGGGATATGTGAGAGAGAATATCCAGCAAGCACTTACAAAAGCTCAAGAAGAAATGTTAAACCTAGATAGAGACAGCATCAAAATATACAGACAAGCTGGGGTTGTAGCTTAGTGACAGAGAGGTTGCCTAGCATGCGTGAGGCACTGGGTTCAATCCCCTGCACCATATAAAAATAAATAAATAAAATAAAGGTATTGTGTCCATCTGCAACTAAAAAAATATTAAAAAAAAAAAGTATATAGGCGGGG